CCTTTGACTACATTAACAAAGGCACGAGGGGTTGGTTGCACTCGATTGGGAAACCGATTCGCATAAATCCGTGATGCATCCGGGAGCATTTTGTAAAGACTGCCCCCCCCGTAAATAAGAATCATGTCCACAAGTTCAGCATTTTCGTAAACATGTGCCATTTTTGATTTCGTTTGAGCCACGCAACACACTACTATTCACTCAGGATTTATCGACTGACGAAAAACATCGTGGTAAACGTTTCAAATTCTTTCGCTTTTTTGTTTCCGATGCGATGAACCGGTCAGGCGGATTATATCCGTTGTCGCCAAACACGAGCATATAATAGGCAGGGCGGTACTCAAACTTCCAAAGGGCTATAACTTTGTTACTTTAATTTTACCAGAAAAATGGTAAAGGAAAAAAACATTTCTTTTGATCAGATCTACTCACTGTTAAAATAAATGACTCAACTTCGAAGTCACCCTGTATATATATATACGGTCGGCAAAGTAAATCATCCTGATAACAATGACAGCTTGTCTACTGTGAAATAAAACTTCAAATCCTCTTTTGAGCGATCCTCAGGGAAGTGTCATTGTTTCCCAGGAGAAATCCAGTGTTTCCAAGGAAGCGTCAAACCTTTAAAAAGGATCAGACTCTTAGCGCTCGCGTCATCGGTATCAAGCGTTTGATTTTCACGCAGTTGGATGCCAGGCATATTGTAATCACCACTTGGCAAAAGTGGAAGATCATCAAAAAAACTATGTACGATGTAGAAATATACAAGGTGTTCCATTCGACATTGTTGAGAAAAGGTACATTTTGCGTTTTGAGATACCCTGTATAAATAGGAAGAAATGTCAGAACTTTTTACAGATTAGCTTAAAATCGATGATAAAATTTTTGTGTACTAACATTTATCTAAATATCTTCAAAAATCGCGGAGCTGCAAGCCGTCAAAGCTGGCCATATGTTAAATGATATCAGACTTCTTGTTTTTAGAAGCTCTCTTGGAATATGTTGCAATAAAATATAGGATGTTCTATTAAAGAGATATATGGCATGAAACACCCTGTATACATAAAATAATTTTTAAATATGCACAAGTAACATATCGAGGTTGCCACTAAAACAAATTTTTATATCTTTTCCAGTTTACTCATAAAACTACTTTTCATTTTCGTTGTGTCACCCTGTATATTGCTGTATCTCAGTGTAAAATTACCTTGCTATACCTGAATCGTGAGAAGTTCCCCCTCTAGATGCCCCAAGGGCATTTGCTCTGAGGTGATGCTTAAGTGCTCAGTTTTTTCATTTTTTATTCAATCGATATTTTTTATTTTACAGCCAATCGTGGACGGTTTAAAAGCTGTAGGCCATCACATGATACGGGATGTCAGCAGAGGAAGTTCCATCATTTGTGGATTACTGAGAAAAGCTGGAAAAATCATAGGCAACGCCGATTGGAGGAAAGGAGGCGATGTATACGGATTATAGATATCCAAATTGTATAGATTTTAGCGTTTATTGACAAACTCATGTAGAACAAGTCGGAGTGCATTTTTTTCATATCGTTACTTTTATCCGTTAGATTGAGATTAATTGATCGCTTATTTTTTCTTCCGTCGTCATATCACATAGCAACCAATGAGACTTAAACAGATCAAGTGATATGTTTCACTGTATAGAACTGATTTGACTTATTTTCAAATCATGTATAAAGGTATTAATAATAAATTATGAACGCCGTTTGATTTGTTGTATCATTACGCGTAATTTTAAAAAAATATATAAACTTACATCAAAAATACAAATAAATTCATTGACTGCTATTGGTAATAATACTGCTTTAAAAAAACTGGAAATGAGTAAGATGGTTCTCGCCAGTAGGCGTGTGAAGTAAAATGACATGAGGATTAACATTAAATAACAACGTCTAGACTTTAACTGTCTAATAATAATTGACAGAAATCTTTAGTATCTCTCACTTTGTACTTTTTGCCCTGGAATGGTGTAATGCTATCACAAAATAACCTCAATAAGATAAAGATGAGTTGCAAAGGTATTTAATAGACCTTGTTGTACGAAATACAAAAATAAAGTTCTTCACATTCAAATAATAACAAACGTAACTGGAAACAACGAAAATAGGCAGCAATAAAACAGGAAATTTGTGTTGCATCTACATGGTTTATGAACTTTCTGGAAAAAGGTTACCAAGCTCTGGGTTATGCCTGGAAACTTTCCCAATATTCCAATCGAAAAAATATCCAAATGAAATATTTCTTCGTCTGTTCGTACTTCAATTGAGACTGAAACAGTAACTAAAAAGATAGCAAAGTGTTTGCTCTCAACAGTTGCTGTTTCATAACTAAATACAATAGAAAATCAATGGCGCATACAATTCACCAATTTGTAATAAACTACGAGTATGCTCCCCTCAAAGATAAGTTTTATATACGCCAAGAATATAACATTATTATTGGTTTAATTTTGGGACCATATCTCAATGTAGGTGCCTCACATTTACTGAATTAAACCACGTGCCTAGAATAAAAATAATAAACAATAATATACCGTAAATACTATCCAGGCTGCTCGTGACGAAGCTTAATTTTCTTCGCTCTGGATACTGTATTCTCATCGTCAATATCTAAATTCTTCAGCTGGCAAAGTGCTTTCCTTAACATACTATCTACTCTAAACTGCATCAGAGAATCCTGAAAAAAAATAATACTTATACAATTTTTACCCTCGAAGTCACACGAGGAGCAAAAATGGCAACATGCAAACATCATGCAGTACATTGTTGCCATTCCGCTACCTAAAATATACTGACTATACTATAACTATCTAAAACTGTAATGACTCATCGATGTTCACGTGAACATCACTTAACTACCAGTAGTCGGCTGTTCATAGGCGGGGTATGAATGTTTAACATGGATGAACTAGATTTGTCACATGCTTAATAAAGAGTGGTTTGAAACATATTGTAAGTCAAAAATTTGGAAATTACCTTTATTCATCGTCGCTTCCACTTACATCTGACAGTAATAAACTGTCGCTATCGCTTTCCTCGTTAAAATTGACTATAACTGGCTCTATGATGGTGTCGATGTGGTGGTCAAGCTGCCACATTTTCGTTTCTTCCTTCACAACATGACGGATAGCATTCTGCCAAGCTTCGGGCGTTACTAGCTGTATGAAAGTCTCAAGTAAAACCTTAACGTCTGGTAATTTGAAGGTTGTGTTATGGCGCGCAATATAACCATTCACTTGAGCCCAGATGAGCTCTATTGGGTTCAGTTCACAGTGGTAGGACGGTAACCGCAGCACAGTGACACCACATTGACGGGCCATCTCATCAGTCGCGTAACTAATGTTCGCAGGTTTGCGCTGTTTAATTTTTTCATACAATTCCGCTTTCACACATGAATCGTCAAACGGGATTCCTTTTTCGCGCAACCATTGCTGCATGTCACTTTTTCGAGATCCCATAGTAGGTACACGTTCGGCTCGACGACTATGGTAGGGGAAGCATTATCCATGACGATCACAGAGTTGGGCTCAACTCGCTGAAGCACCGCTTGAAACCAGCTCTCGAAGCAGCTGGCATTCATTTCGTCATGGTAATCACCTCCTTTCTTAGAGACGAAAATCAAGTCACAGTCTTCTAAAAAGCCACTATCGCTACCAATATGAGTTACGATCAATCTTTGACCTTTCACTGACGGTCCACGAAGACCTGTTGACAAACCTTCAATGCTTGCTTGTCGGTTACTCACTACGTTTTTGTCTATCCAGATTTTTTTAACTGTGTGACCTGCATTTACCCATGTCTCGTCCAAATAATAGATTTTTCTGCTTTGTCGCCTATATTCAATCATTTCGCGTAGGTATTTTCGACGCCAGGCGACTATTTCAGGTCTCTCTATCAATACTGACTTCCGATTACGCGTTTCGTAACGAAAATTAATTTCGTGCAGGGATTTCCTCATTACCTCGACGCTCATTTGGGGTATAATTTCATTTTCCTTGATCGCTGCATGTACAGCCTTGAGGGTTGGTATCTCATTCCTAAAGAAGAATGAATGTACGGTTCGCCTTAACGCCATTTTGCTATCGTCATCCAATTTAACGGCCTTTCGTCCCTTCAAATTAAACTTTGGATCAGTAGTAGCTCCAGTTTTCTTCTTTTCATGCACCACCCTGGGAATGGTCCACTCTGGAACGCCTGTCATACTTTCACAACGCGCGAGTGCATCTCCCTGCGACATAGTTCTGTTCAGATAATTGAACACGTTGAGCACGATTTTTTTCGCGTCCCTCTTCAGTGCTTTACGAAGCCGTCTACTTGTTCCCTGGCTTTCAGTACTTCCACTCGTGCCATTTGTACTCCCCATGGTTAAGTATAACCAAAACAGTAACCACAGAAACCACAACAATAACAATCACACAACAATTCTTATAAAAACACACAATATGCGATCGCTCAACGAAACACGTTCCAATGCGTTGCCGACGCCTATGAGTCTGCCGGTCGAGGCGCGTCTTTGATTTCATTGGTTCTACCGGCGGAGAACAATCAGCCATTATTTCCATCTCTGTCTGTGCTGTTGACCGCCGCAAAGCCACAGAAACGACATATGTCGTACGCTATACGGCTGTACTGGAAGGAAGCCGGGATCGAGCTCTGATCACGTGTTGATCACGCGTATGAGTCATTACAGTTTTAAATAGTTGTAGTATATATAACCTTGACGATGATACATTTTCCACGAAATCAAGAGCATTTACAATTACCTGTTTTATCCAGGGATGGCTTAAAATTCCATCAACCGTAATTCTCTTTCGTGGATCCACAATTAACATTTGCTTGATCAGATCTTTTGCAGATTCGGAAATTTCATACCAGGCAGGTCCAATCATACTGTAAGTGCCTGAGATAATCATTTTGCCTAGAGTAGACTTGTCATCAGAGCTGGAACAGTAAATTCAAAATCCGTGTTAAACTGACGTGGTTTTCATGCTGATAGAGCTCCATGTTTCCTGATAGTTAAATGAAACCAGAGTGAACAATGCAGATGCAGCATTAGTAGTCGAAGATTGCAGAACACTCAACCGCAGGGGTATTATGTGAAAAATAGACATAATATCATTAAAAATCGGTATAATGTCAATTTGTGTATTGTCCCTTTCCGCACCTACTCGCTATGAGCGCCACCTATGGAGGAATGGCCAAAAAATTTCTTTCCGGCAATCGTATACATACAGCTTAGGCCTTAGAAGCTATTAACCCAGATATTACTGAAACTTTTTTTTCTCAATATTTGCGGATTTCTTAGTGACAGTACAGTAAATTGACTCTATTTCAACAACCAAAACCAGTTTATGAACTTTTTTTATCCCTAGCTAACGGTTACGAGGTGTTGTTTAAAAAGGACGGTAGTGAAATGACCTGCTGATAGCACAAATTTTATTTCAAGGACACATATTGCAAGACATAAAACGAATAGCTATTCGGTGTGATACAGTTCGAAACACGTTTTAGGATGTAGTGGAACACTACATTTTCTGCAGCGAAACTGAACTTTTTTATGGCATTCGCCACAACGTTGCAGGTTCTCTTGATAAACTACAAGGTGATTGAGCCCATCATATCTAGAATAAACACACTTAGAAGCACAGTGTATAAATGTCGATATATGGCTCAAGCGATACGTATGGGACTAAACTGTAGTAATTGGTGGTAGTTCTAATGTTCTTTGACAGAGCACGGTGGCGATACCTTTTCTCAAATTACTGAAACTCCTTACAGAATCCTTGAATCGCAATGCAGTTATAAAGGACGGTAGTAGTATCTGGGTTAATGGCCCCCACATTTTGTTTTTGTTTATTGAAAATTTATTTAGCATTAATGCTACAATGTAAATTTTATATAATTGTTCGTTTATACATTTTTTTAATCTATATTTAGTAATTTATTGCCTATTAAACTTGTCCCATATCTGAAGCTGATGTCACATTAGGAATGCATTCAGATGTTTTTAGCCGCAAAAAGATAAAGCCCTCGGCATCCTGACGGTTGCCTTTTGGTTGTATTGTCCTAGAGAAAAATATCTGAATGGTACGGTGTAATTCAACAGAAGTCACGAAGTGTTTTTTTTATCTTTCCCTCGTTGTAAGTAAAAATGAACGACACTGTCATCATTCAAAACCATTAAATGTCTTCTGTATTTAATACTAAAATTTGCCTTGGGCACTAGAAAAGGGAAGACAGGTTGTTAATTTTTCTTAGGGCACTATAGTTTCATAGAAGAATCTTATATACGGAAACTAGTTTGTAATCAAAAGCATCATAACAAAGCAACAACACAACGGATACTGCTGAAAATAACGCACTTCCGACTGATGTGTTTAACAACGACAAAACGACAAACAGCGACAAAACAACAGCTAGTTTCAAGTTGACATCTTACAGAAAAACCTATACAGGGTGACAGGTAAATAGGTGTAAAACATTTTAGGAGGTGATAGTACAGCTCCTTTGCTATCAAAATTAGTATATAATACCATATACCCTATATCCAAAGGTTAAAAAGTTATGGAAGATTTAATTTTTTTTAAAAAACAACCCAGATTACAGAGTAAAATAGTTGAGATAAAAAAAAGTTGGTGATTATTCTTTTTTGGTGGTTTCAGGTTATTATTTAAATAAATAATTCTCATAAATTAAAAAACATATGAAAACACTACTGAAAACGTATTTATTTTCATTTAAATGTTGAATGAAAATTTTTATTGTCAACTTTCACATTAAGAAGTCTTTTTTTCAAAAAAATCATAATACAGAAAATGTACAAATAACTGCAAAAACTTCCTCGTTTCATTAGGTTTTTAAAATGGTATAATAACATATCAGTAAGTAAACCATTTAACAAAACAATATTACTTTGCTAGAAAGGACGGCTAAGCGCATTTCATTGTACTGAGCAGGTAAACCGAGCCTTTCATGGTTCGACCCTTTTTGTTATTTTTTGTGCCCTGTGCCGTTATTCGGGTTTAAGTATTCGGAATCTGTCGTCGCTCCTCGGAAGCAATCTCTGCGTGTGTTATGAATTGACACAGCTGACGGATCAAGGAAATGGAACTAACGCTTAGGTTAGTTAGTAGAATATTAACCTTTAACGCGGTAGGACGTACTTTTACTTTTTTGATCAGTTTTAATAATGGCGAGTTACCGTAACGAAGAATACGCTGATATTCTGTTTTGTTATGGTTTAAGTGATGGAAATTCCGTTGAAGCCAGGCGAGAATAAGAAAACCGTTTTCCGAATCGGCGAATACCGAGTCATCGAGTATTTGCTTCTGTGTACCAACGCGTCAAGGAAAGTGGACAGGTTCATGAGAGACGTCATGATGCTGGTAGACCTCGGTTGTTTGACGACGAAGATCGGGAGGCAATACTGGAATGCTACGGCAGAGACTCGACGACGTATACACGAGTTATAGCAAAGCAGCTTGGTTTAACTCAGTGGAAAGTTTGGTTCGTTTTGCATTCGGCGAGACTTTACCCTTTCCATTACACACCGGTTCAAGTATTAGAAGAAGGAGATCCCGCAAGAAGAATTGATTTTTGTCGATACATGCTTCATCGGGATCAAGAAGAAAACGACTATTTAACTAAAATATTATGGACCGACGAGTCTAAGTTTGACAGAGAGGGGACAACAAATTATCACAACTTACATTATTGGGCCCCACGAGAGGCAAATCCCCACATGGCAAAGCCAAGAGCCCATCAAAGATTTTCGGCAAACGTGTGGATGGGAATCATTCATACGTATCTAATTGGACCAGTTTTTTTGCCTGACAACCTGAATGGCGAATCCTATGAAAACTTTTTGAGATCCGAACTCTGGGAGTATCTCGAAGACCTGCCTCTGAATATCAGGATGCAGATGATCTACCAACACGATGGCTGTCCCGCGCATTTCCGTCTGGGTGTTAGACAGTGGCTGGACGAGAAATATCCTTGTCGCTGGATTGGCCAGCGAGGAGCCCAGATTTAACACCGTGTGACTATTATTTATGGGGGTACATGAAGTCACTGGTGTACGCTGAGCCCATAGACACTCTTGCACAGTTGAAAGAAAGAATTATTGCTGCTGCTGACACTACCAGAGGACAACTAACTGGCCGCATCACGCGTACCAACTTGAGAAAAAGACTACGGGCTTGCATAAGAAACGGCGGGCGTCAGTTCGACCAACAATTGCAATGAATTTTACCTTCATTTCATTATTGTATTTTACTTACCAATTGTAGTAACTTTTAGTCAGTTTTTATTATTCTGTAGTACAATTACAACTGTGTAAATAATCTTATCGTGTAACTTAACCGTAGCTTAAAATGATAACTATCCCATAGCTTACAGTTACATTATTTTCACAAAAACACTTTCTTATCAATCAGAGCGTTGTGAAAATAGAAGACAAGCCATTGGTAAATTTACTCCCTATTGTTGTATTACAATACATTATGTTTAGTTTCACACAGTTTTTGTGCACTTATCATACCAATTTGGATTCCTTATGAATCAAGTATATTATTTAAATTGTTTGTACGTTTTTTTGAATACTGATTTTTTCGTAAAACACCTTACTTACTGTAAAACATTATTTGTTTTTCTTAGTTAAACATTTTTGAATGGAAATAAATACGTTGTTTGGTATTGTTTTCGAATCTTTTTTAATTTATAATAGTTACTTATTGAAATAATAACCCAAAACCACAAAAAACAAATGTTTAATCGCCAACTTTTTTCTCTCTCGACTTTTTTACTCTGAAATATGGATTGTTTTTAAAAAAATCTTAAATCTTCGATAACTTTTCAACCTTTGAATATAGGGTATCTTATTATATACTAATTTCGATAGCAAAGGGGCTGTACTGTCACCTCCTAAAATGTTTTACACCTATTTTACCTGTCACCCTGTATAATGTCACAAAAACCTATATAAACTGACATAATGACACACTTCAAGATACTTAATACCCCTGCCGGGTTTCATTTAGCGGCTAGAAAACATGGAGTACTAACAACAAATACCTACTAGAACGGAAGAGTTTTTGACAGCATATAGTACAAAACAACTCCCATGCTCCATACGTCTACTTGCTTGTCATACTCAATAATATTTTGGTCGATAATCTCTGGAGCAATGTAGTGCCAAGTACCGCACATCGTTTTCATGAGATCGTAGCCTTCCGTGACGCTACTCAAACCGAAATCTGTCAATTTTATCAACGTGTAGGGGTCATCGGATGCCAACAGTACATTGCCAGGCTGAAGAAAAAATGAAAATTGAGATCATGCTTATACTCTACTATCAGTTCGATGGTTGCGTACTACATCTTATTAACAATATGACTATAGAGAAATTCTAAAGAATTAAGGGCCAAGTTTAGGGAGAAAATGAGAAAGTAGGCTTTCACAGCTAGTTCTGAACTAGAGCATGCGAAAATCGAAATTACTGTTCCAACTATGGAGCTTACAGGATCTGTAAATCAAGTGATAAGGCTAGCAACGTAGCGTTCGATCTGGCAACACTGGAGGCGCTGAGTTTAAAGGGGAGGCAGAGAACATTTCGAAAAATATGCCCCAAATCACTGTTAGTGAATGGAAAATGATAGTTCAGTTCATAGAGCAGAACATTACAGCCCCAAGAAAAGCTCCAAGTAAAAATCTCCCAAATTAGGAGCAAAATCCCCGAACATGGCAACCCTGTCAAAGCACCGCTGGTACTTCTGGCGACAAGTTTCGGTATCGTTTTTACAGCGTTGCCGTTGTTTTTCCTGGTGTGCAGGCTCAATGAGCTATTAATAGCTGAGAACGTCGATTTTGCGACTACCGTTTTGTGCCTTTTCTAACTTTTCAATCTTCTCATAATATATCAGACCTAAATCTTAACTGCTGATTGTGCCCTTTATTACAAATATTTAAGAAATGTGAGCTGATTATAGGAATTCAAAGAATCAAAAATGAAAATTACATAGTCAAGTGTTGGTAAGTTTTATGAATTTGTTTCAATGGTGTTATTAGTAAAATAAATAAATTAACATTCCCATTAATTTCCTCCTCAGATAGTGTATCAGAGCATGCTTCCTCCAAAGACAAAATGATGAATTATTCCAGCTCTAATAAAGAAAAACTTCATACCATTTTTTAACCTTCTCATATCATGTTGAAATATGACAGCTCATATTCCCAATTGTTTAAAACAGATTTAAAATATTTGAAATTTGTAGTAATGGGATCTAAAAAATCATCACAGGATGTAAATATTTCCGCACAGATTTACATTATGTCAAAAAACAAATTACTATCTCAAATTCCACGTCTAGCTTACCGAAACTTGATAATCGTAAATTTTACTTCAATCAAAGCTATTTTTACGATAACAAGCAGTGTAATTTTCAACGCACCAGTTTGGAACTAGTTCTAAACTGTACCAGAAAATTCTGGATGAGTTCTGTGCTAGTTCATACAAATCTTACTCTTACCTTAACATCCCTATGGGTAACACCACTTTTGTGTAAATACTGAATGGCAAGAACTATCTGGTAAAATAGGAACTTTGAATTTGCCTCACTCAAATTCGAGTGGCTTGACAGTCTTTTGCTTAACTCTCCCCCTCTAACATATTCTAAGACTATAAATATATCTTCTTCAGTCTCCACCATACTGTCCATACCTACTACCAGAGGCTGAAAAAGAAATTTTTATATTTCAGTTTTATTAGCCTCATGTGGCTTAAAATACAAATTCTTCAACAGGAAATAGTTTTTGAATCATAAAAAATTATGTTTCTATTAAAGTCTACTTTTATATACAGGGTGTTTCAGTTTATTGTTGCATAACTTTAAGATTCGATAGAACTTTTAAAATGAATGCATAAAGTTTATATAAACATGGGTCGAAAAATGCGTGGCTTCCGAAATACAGGGTGTTTAAATTTACTTTTTAAAATAGTTTTTTTTAAATATTTCGAACAATATTTGATGTATAATAGTGAAAATTGGTATACAAGGGTTTTTTGGACCGACAAAACGAACCATGGGCATAGTTTTACTGTAGCCGCTAGAGGGCGCTCTCTACTGTACCTGTAGTGTATTAAAATGACCGAAAATTTTTTCTTAGTGCAATTTTTTGCTTTTTGAATAAAAAAACTGATTCTTCGCACTTTTCTGCATAAAAAAGCTCTCCTGTGAGTTTTCGTTATAGTTAGCCGTTTTTGAGATATTTCGATTTTTAAGGTTCGATGCATTTTTAATTATTTATGGAAAAATAATATTTTTTTTACATTTTCGATTTGGGCATTACAAGTAATTAAGATGATCGTTTAGATTGTGTTTTTAAACACAGCAATAATTCCTAACTCCAAATAAACACAAAAAAAATATTAATTTGTTTAATTTTTCAATATTATTTTTAACAAATTAAATTAATTATTTACAACTAAAATGCTATTGGATAGTTAGGACAAACATACAAAATCTAAAGTAGTTGCTCGAAATGTAAACCCAATTGTTCAATACACAATGCAAATCTACGAATGATCGAACGTGGTATAGCATTATTCAAATAAGGCCTTATTTCATCACATGCATTCCTGATTCTGTCTATTAGCATATCTCTTGTGGTTACGGGAGTCTGGTACACTTTTTCTTTTAGAAATCCCCACACAAAGAAATCTAATGAATTTAGGTCAGGGGATCGTGGAGGCCAGGCGATCGTGGAGGCCAGGCGACTGGTCCTCCACGGCCGATCCATCTTTCTGGATAATTTTGGTCCAGCCAGTTTCTAACTATTCTCGAATAATGAGCTGGACAACCATCAAGCTGAAACCAGGCCAATCTTCTTAAATCTAACATAACATCATCCCACATATTTGCATGTTCAGCCTTTAAAAATTCCAAGAGGGTCGCAGCATTTAACCTTGCAGGCAAAAGGTAGGGTCCAAATAGTCGATTACGGTAGATACCAATCCACACGTTCACACTAAATGCATGCTGAAAATTTCTGTCCCGAACTGCATGCCGATTTTCATGCGACCAAATATGTTGATTATGAAAATTTACCACTCCACGTCTAGTGAAGCATGACTCATCGGTCCATAAAACGTTACTTAAAAACTCCCTGTTATTATCAGTTCTATCAAGAATCCACCGACAAAATGTAATTCTTCGTTCTCCGTCCCCTGGCTGTAGTCCTTGCACAGGTTGCAAATGGTAAGGACGTCTATGGTCATTTCTAAGAATACGGTGAACATGGCTTGCTGAAATTCCCAAGGCACCAGAAACTCTCCTAACACTTGTGGTCGGATTTTTATCAAACTCACGCAGAATCATACGGGTAAATCTGCGCTGACGAACATTTATGTTTTGATCCCTTTGGAGATTTCCAAAACCATTTTCAATTGTTTGGCGATGCACTCTTACAAATACTGAGCGAGTTGGATGTCGTCTGTTTGGAAATCTTCGTGCGTATTCTCTGGCTGCTTCTGCTACGTTTCCATTTACAAAGCCATACACAAAATGAATATCCGCTAACTCTTGATTGGAGAATAAAAATGGCATTTTTATAAAACTTACAAACAAAAACAGGTAAAAGAAACTAAATTTCGTGCATTCACAATTCCAAAAAAAGTTTCAGGTTTCAATAGACAACAAAACTAACTGTCAACTAATTGACGTTTAACCTTATTCTGCTTTCAATTTCAAAAATATTTGCAGGCACAGCCTATTTCTAAAAATTATCGAGATACTGACTTTTTAACGTTATTTTATCATAAATAATTGAAAATGCATCGAACCTTAAAAATCTCAAAAACAGCTAACTATAACGAAAATTCACAAGAGAGCTTTTTTATGTTGAAAAGTGCGAAGAATCAGTTTTTTTTATTCAAAAAGCAAAAAATTGCACTAAGAAAAAAATTTCCGGTCATTTTAATACACTACAGGTACAGTAGAGAGCGCCCTCTAGCGGCTACAGTAAAACTATGCCCATGGTTCGTTTTGTCGTACCAAAAAACCCTTGTATACCAATTTTCACACTTATACATCAAATATTGTTCGAAATATTTAAAAAAAAAGAAAGTAAATTTAAACACCCTGTATTTCGGAAGCCACGCATTTTTCGACCCATGTTTATATAGACTTTATGCATTAATTTTAAAAGTTCTATCGAATCTTAAAGTTATGCAACAATAAACTGAAACACCCTCTAGATAGATATAGATCCATGAATGTCTGGGCAGGCAGCAACAAGCATGCATAAGCGGTGATTGAGTACCCATGTTTGTCTTGATGCGGAGTAAATGAGGTTTGAATAGTCTATAGCATAAATGACTTTGTTTCATCTAAGAGTAAATATACTAGCAATATTCGAACAACATTTATCAGAAAGTGACAATTCAATTATATAACAGAAATAATTTGAATGCCTTACATGTGAGAGATTCCAAAGAATGCTGATCTCCATATAAATTCTATTTGGGTGGTTAATGTTGTGCAATTGAGATGCTGTATCTCTGCCTTTTGTAATTTTTTTCAACGCATACTTTTGACAGGTATACTGAAAATAAAAGTTACCTAGAGTATTTAATGTAGATAAATGAGGATTTCTGGACCTAGACACGCAAATATTCTAGCTGAGAGTATAGATATGAAGAATATATGCCCTCAGATTCCAAAATTTTGTGATATAAATTTTCATGTTTGTTCAGTGTAGCAATTAGGTAACTTGAAACAGTCATTCCAAATATGGACATCAAAAACTCTCAAGGAATAGAGTGGAAAACTGGGGAGTGGAACATCGATCTCAGTGGCAAAACTAACATCAGAATTGTAATCTATACCCCAGATTACGAGAGAACAAAACTGAGGTATGTTGAAGTGCATCAAAAAGTCGATGTATATTTTGAAGTTATATTAAAACCAGGAATGAAACTTATAAGCAGAGAAGGATTGATCGAAATAAACCAAAATGCTGTAAAATGTACGCACATAAATGCTTAGAGATGTTAAACAACCCTTACCTTATCATATGCTAATCTTACTTCACCACATGCTCCTTTCCCCAAGAAGTGTGAAAGTTCATATTTATTTTTATATGCTTCTGGTAGGTAATTCTCGTCAACAACATAATTCATGGATTTAAATATGTATACTAAAAGAAATATATATCTGAGGAATGAAAAAGGACTTGATTTATTTACACATATAGAGGGGGGGTTAAGTGCAAGTGCCTAAACTTCACCTCCCTACAAATAATAAAGGTTTTATTATTATTAAACTAATACTAGCATATACATTTGTGTTATATTGACCTGTCAACATGCTGTGAATTTCTGATTATCAGAGACTCGGGCACAGCCATCAAAACAAATTAATATGAGGTTGCCTAACTATGGTCGATTATAAATGACCATTAGGGAAACAAATTAATTTTTTTAAAGAATAATGTGTGAGTCTAATGACACCTCCACTTTATGTAGTAAGTTCCTTTACTCTACAAAAGGGCTGCAAAAAGTTGCTTGATGTACATTCTGCTGAAATAGACACACATTGCATGCCTTTATAGTACCATGAACACCCTCAGAATATTGTTGATCTTGTGCTTAATATTTTGTTATAGATTTAAATTATTAATATATAACAACGCTAAATAGTATAGTTACCCTTCAATCTTTCTCCTATAGCAATACAGTCATTACTCTGTAGTATGACTCTCTTATTCCTACCAATCAAAATATTATTCAAATATGTTCCATTCTTGCTCAGATCTGTGATATATGTTATTGCAGCATCTTCAGGATCTCTTTCAATAATAAAATGCTTTTTACTTATGAAAAGCAGTTGATTTGGGAGAAACTTGGATTTGTAGATGACCACATCACATTCATCTGATCGTCCTAAGGTCAATGTAGAATGGACCAGATCTATATGAAAGCAAATGGTTTGAAAAAAGGTTTTTCTTTAGTAAGAGTATCCTATACCAATTGAACTTAGCTGGGGTAAACATGATATCAACCTGCCCCATTGTTTTTTCAACATATTGTGACCGTTTACATTTCTTTCTTCACTTTCAAATGCCATCGTTCTTCCAATCTAATGAATTTTCAATGGTTGTCACAGTTTTTTCTTACATTTTTTGTACTTGCATTATCCAAAACAATTAGTAAAAGCTCTGAGGCAACAAAAACATGTCTGTGAGAAAAGGTTCAAAATTCCCACGCGTTTGTTTGTTAGACATTTGACATGAAACACAGAACAACAGGAAATGAACTAAGCATCGAACACAAAAAAAAGCACAGAACAGAAATAGCAAGGACTAAAAGCTGTAAAGTTCACCGCGAATAGAGATGGACATTCGATATTCGATCTATTCTTATCAAATAAAATAATCCCAGTATGATTCCTATGAATCATAAATTCTGAATTTTACTTAACTTACTGCCGCTTTTGACAGGTCGGGTACCTTTAATGAAACCAACTGCAGGTTACCCATACTGCTTCTAAAGTGTTAAAACACTATATGTATATTTTTCTTACAAACTTTGGTGCAATACCTAATGCAGGCAATCCTTTTGAAGTATGTATGTTGTCAATAAGGCAACATTATTGATACTCTGCTTCCAGGGCCGTCTCAAACTACAAGGGCGTCGCCAGAGGAAATGGGGGGCGTTTGCCCTCCCTAGAGGCCCTGAAAAATGTAGTGAAATGCAATACAATAAAATTCATAAATACACTCACTTAACGTGCTTGATCGATCGTTACCACCCTTGGTAGGCGCCATTGGATACACCAGCAAGCTTGTGACTGAAGGGGCCCTACCTTAGCTTTGGGGCAAATTGAGCAGCAGGAGATGCTCAGACTTCTTTTTGACCGTTGAGAATTTGGAGCCCCCTCATCAGGCCGGCCACGGGACCCACATGCCTATAGCATTCTCCGACTTTCCACGACTTTGTCCAAATCACCAAATAAATGTTGAAGGATAAAACATATTGTTGAATATCCGATTATAGTAATACCAAATAGGTACACTTATGCCACAGATATGCAAGTGCAAAAATATATGATCTATAAATAAAACATGGTGCAAATGGCAACAACCTTTGTAGGTATTTATAATTATGCATGTGAAGGTAGGTTTCAAAAGCTGGCTCTTCTACAATCGTACGCACCGCTAGAATGCAGCCGACCGAATAAATAACGCATACAATGTTATGGGCGTGCCTTACTCGCAGAAGCACATGGCGTGCATACGAGGTCAGCGCGATAATTATACGTATGCTATGTAGGCGTATGAATCTTATGCTGCTGCGCTATTACATTCAGTGGTTTTACAGAGTTCGTAAGTACGAATCTACAGGTGTTCGTACACCCCAACTCAAAACAAATAAGTCTGTCATGTACGGTGCGCGCTCCTTGCTAAAATCTCGGAAAATATTTTTTTCAAGAAAATTTTCCCTAGCGCGTTAATGAGTTTTTCGGGGTTCAAAGTACATATCTAGAGCTATTATAATCAATCATCAAAAATCAGATACAAACATTTCTACACCCCATTTCCAAAGAAAGCAGCTTGACATGCTTTTTTTACACTTCAGTTAGTACCAATGGTTTCTAGTTACCAAAATTGTATTTAAAAGGTAGATCAAAAGGCACTAATAGTTATTTATGCATTTTGGCGTTAAGGTTTTGAAAATTAAAAATTGAGTGGTCGTGTCAACGGAACTTGTGGCACGCCCTAACAATGAATATGGTGCTTGTCTGCAAGTGGAGTACTTGGGTTTAACGTTATACACAAAGTACAATTTACCGCCCGGTCGTAGATAATCGATTCTGATTGTGTAATAGGCGTATGTAGATACACCCACAGACCCTAATAGGTATTAGGGCTTGGACTTCCCACCGTTTGTTGTGAGATATAAACCTCATCTTTTGAATAGTACGCGCTACGTATATATGCGATTATGTTATATATTCGTTAGGTATATATGCCACTTAACTCTGCAATGATGCTCTAAAGTTACCTTAAACGACTGCACATACGAGACCAGCTCTCAAATTCTGCCATATCAGTACATTGCAATTTCAGCCCATTAACCACAAGTTGAAACCATACAACCTCAATAGTCTGTGTATTTTCAAGCATATATTTACTTATAGCATAATAAATCTGCTACAGTATTATATATAATCCAAGCTGTCGATATGACAAATCTATTAGTAGATATATTGTAATACTTTCCGCGAGCTCGTTGCATCTAGGCATGTAGTGTTTGGTTGTTGGTAATCGGTAGGTACCGGTGAGAACAAGAATAGTACCCCTGGGAGTATTTGTCATTAATTTATTGATTATAATAGCTCAAGATGTATACTTTGATCTCTGAAAAACTACTTAACGTACTAGTGAAAATTCTCGTAAAAAAACATTTTTTCACATTTTGTTTTGAGTTGTGGTGTACGAATAGCTTTAGATACGTACGTACGAACTCTGCAGAATCACTTAATGCAATAGCGCAACAGCATAATACTCAGACGCATACATATACCGCGCCCCCCTCGTATTCAGGCCGCGGGCTCCTATGAGAGCACGGCGTATCGCACGCCGATAACATAGTATCGATTATTTATTCGGTCCGCTGTTTTCTAGCACCGCGTACGATTGTGGAGCTATCTTTTGGAGCTATATTCACATGCAGTTTATATTAATATAATCTTCACTGTTTTTTGTTTTGTTTCAGCAGCATCGACGACTGGGGTCATTAGCTGCAATTGATTGCACATTACTAAACATAATGATTTCGTCTGTCTGATCAACCAAACATGAATATCTATTTTGTGCTTTTGGCTATTTATCAGCATGGTCTAGGCTTGGTCAATCGTCTCTGGACAACGAACGAAAGCCTAGAAACTATCTTCTCTATCTAGGAGGTGTTGTTTATCAAGACAGCATTAATGCGCCCTGACTGCATATTGTGAAATATCTCGAGATGGACAAAACGAAAATTGTTATTCCATGTTAATATGCCTTATATATCCTTTATATTTTAAAATAAAGATTATTACAGAAATATGCGTATATCATATTTTCACTTTTGTGATATTTTGAGAGTTTATTTAACCCCTTAAGTGGCTGTAGCTGCTTCCCGCGATGCCTTTTCAGGTGGCACGTCGTTTTACCGCTTGCGTACATATTCGTCTATGCCACTGACAATTGAAGTGCAGGCGTACATATTCGTCAAAGCCACGTGAATTGGGTTACTGGAAATTAAGTGCGTACATATACGGGAAAGCCACCATGACAAGTACTTTTTTTAAACAATTAATGCACCTAAAATTACTTAAAGCTTATTTATTCAAAAAGAAAATACAGCCAAAAACTTATAGAAAATATTATTCTTTTGTATGGTATATCCCAAAACAAGGTGCATGACAGAGACCAGTACGACACTCTAAGCACCAATAACGACTCTCTTTTCGCTTCTTTTGTTCAGCACATACAACGCATCTGCAGTAAAGAAAAACGCAATTAAACAAACGTAGAGTGATAAGTTTTTGGCAGAGTTACCTTTTTGTCGGTTTTGCTTTTGTTGTTGGTGCTATTATCGATGGAAAATGTCTTTCAATCAGTCTTGTGGGCATTGGCGTTCTAGACCTTCTTTTCTTCATTTGTAAGGGTTTGCTGTATTTTTCTACTACCTTCTCACCCAGCTCCAGTAAGAAGTTCATTCTTTTTAGTTTTTCAGCCAATCTTCTTATAAATTTGAAAGGCATTCAATGTAGTGACACTTAAAAAATGGAAAAAACATCTTCATGTAGTACTTTTTAACTCTAGTACGAGCAATTCCATAAAAGTGGAGGTAATTGTCAGATAAATCGACACCACCCATGCTGGCATTGTAGTCGATTACGCAAGCTGGCTTTTCAATTTCCTTACTTCTTGCTGCAATTTTTTTCATGCTGTCATCGTGAATTGTGCTTATCATAAGGACGTCTTTCTTGTCGCGCCATTTCTGAATCATGAGCTTTCTTCTGAAACGTGCTACGGTTTCACCTCGCTGTAATTTTACTTTTATTGCCTGTGGTATTCCTTTTCTATTTATTCTCATTGTACCAACAGCATCTGTCCTTCTTTTTACTAGTTTGTCGAGCAGGTCTATGCTTGTATAATAATTATCTAAAAATAGGCAGTATCCCTTATCTAAAAGAGGATGAATCAATGTCAACACTACCCTCGAAGTAAGTGGTTCATTTTCATACAAAGCATTGTATGCGGTATCTGCCCCAGTATAAACTAAAAAGTTGTACATGTAGCCACTGCTACTTTCACATAAGGCAAAAACTTTCATGCCAAATCGTTTCCTTTTTGAGGGTATGTACTGTTTCCAAGCAAGTCTGCCTTTCCATCCTATCAAGGACTCATCTATGGATATGTTTTGCTCTGGTACATAGGCTGACATATATTTTTCTTTCAGCAAATCCAAAACTGGTAAAACTTTAATCAATTTTCGGCTTTTTGTATGCGGATTTATGGTAGAATTATCTACAAAGTGTAAAAACTTTAGCAACAAATGAAATCGTCTCGCACCAATAACTTTAAAGAAAAAGGAGTCTCGATGCTCTCTCGTCGTGAAAAGTACATTTTATATTCAGGCTTAGGACAGATACTTTGTAATATTAGCAACCCGAGAAGGGTCCTAATTTCATTACTATCTGTATCAAACCATTTTTTAGCTCGGGAATTTGGCTTGAGCTTATCTTGATTCGAAGAAATATACTGCGATGCGTATCTGTTTGTTTCTCTGACTATTATATCTATTAGGTCATCATCGAAAAATATTCAAAGATTTGCACTATATCCTTTGAATTGTTCACTTGAACACCACTGTTTGACGTAAAAGGGAACGCTGGCCTAGGAATCCCATTTTCTGTCCAGGGCATTTCAAAACTTGTATCAAGATTAGGTTCATGCTCACTTTCGGTATCGCTCGCTTCAAAATCTTCGTCAAAACTGGAATCGTTATCTGATACGTCAGAACTAGTGCATTGATTCCCGTCATCACTGGAACTATCTATAGTCATTTCATCATCAGAACTAGACATTATTAAACGTAATTGAACACAAACAATCAAGCAACACACAGCCGGTTTATTGAAACCCACACAGTACTGACTACTAGCTTACACCGAAATCAAATGGCGGCAGACAACAACATGCGGTGTTGATGGCATCACAAACACACGTGATTGTTCCTTATTGGTTATATTTACAGTGGAAGCATCGCAGGCGAGCATATTCGTGATAGCCATGGACGGCCCCCAATAAAATATTCTTAGCGAATATATCCGTCATGATCAACCTGGATAAAAAATATATTGGCGGATATATCCGTCATTACCACTTAAGGTTAAGTGATTCACTTAAGAAATATTTACAATCAGATAACAATACTGTGGTCCTCTGATCTTTGACCAGGGCTCTACATTCATGATAGAACGCTCTACTGAAGCAGAACTTTATTGTGTAATGTTACACACTGTTTGACGAGAGAACAATACAATACGTTTTCTGCAATTTGTTAAAACTCCGTTCTTTTGGCATGCAAAATATATCACAAAAACATGATCCTGACCTGACGTGTGATAGTATCTGTCATAAAATAATTCCAATGCAAAAAATAACGACCATAAATATTTACTGGCCGTAAATGATTCTATTTTCCAGATAAATATGGATGACAGTTGGCTTTTATCCACAGTCAAAAAAAAGCTATGTATTGTCCTTCCTTCAACCTAAGCGCTATGTAAATGGAAAAAACTTCACTTCCTGCAATGACAAAAAGTATATACAAAAACAAAAAAATGAACGTTTACAATCGTGATAAATAGAAGTAGTCATGTTGTGTATTGAGCACGACTGATTGACACTTAATACGTTATAACAACACAGTTTATGTCTAGCTAACCTATATTTGTTTTTTTTAAAAGCCTAAATAATACTATAAACATACCATTCATTCAATGTACCGTATTGTCCAATCCATGTTCGCACTTTCAAAGACAAACCAGTTCATTATTCACGGATATTTTTGAAATACCAAATCCCGTATAGAGACGTTTGCAGGCAAAAAGCATGTTCACAAAGAACTTGTGCTTTCCTTCACTTTATAAAAAGTTGAAATATCCACTCCACTCAAGCAAGTACAGTACTATCGATAGTTCTGAAATCATGGAACTCCATTCTACTCAAGTGTTTTAGAAACAATGAACTTACCCTGTCCCAAAAAGATTGGTTCCACCAGTTTCTCGAAACTTTGCGAATTACATTTAATGGCACCAATATTACTAAGATCTGGTATCATATCCCACTACACAGTACTGCACTATTATTAAGGATCCCCCAGACCGATGCGAATATTTCGCGGCGACTGCGATTAATTCGCGATGATAATGTCGCTCAGAGACTACTCTCGTAGAAGTAAATAAACAAGAACAGACCAGTGCGTCAGTTTCGCGATGAGATGTGCGACAGTACAGCGTCTAAATTTTAATTCGCTGCTTGTAAGGTTTTTATTCGGTGTCGCAATGGCAAATACTGAAAAACTTCTCGAAATAATTAAACAATTTCCAATTCTTTACCACTTAAGTAACGAGGTCTATAAAAATGTTCGTAACAAAGACAAAATTTGCGATGATATAGGTGTATTATAATATGTTATATTATTTATGATTGGCATAGCTAAGCTGATCTTGACCAAAAATAGTATGAGTTGAAGTACTCAACAATTCTTTCTCGTGTATAAAATGCCAGATTCATTGCACGTCTTGAATCATTTTCGAAGTTAGTAAAGGCTTATAATGGATCTAGATTATCTAAGACGTATATTTCGTAGAAATACATACCTACTTCGTATGTCCTCCCCCAAAGCGAGAAATGGAATTACGTCTTCTTAATCTGAAGAGTTCATATTTTAATTTGGTTTAAAAGCGACACTCTCACACCGTTTACTGTCATCCACTGCGATCTTTTCGCTTTGATTTGAAAAATCCCTCAAATATTTGCAGCAAATTTCGCGAGAATACATCGCGTGGGTCTGGGGATCCTTTAAACCTATAGCGATTTTGTTTTGATCTATTTATAAATTTTAGATAATAGTTACTCGATAAATGGTCAGATTCTTGGTTTGATGTAGTTCTCTTTTCCGAAACACTAATATGGATTCGACACTACGATGCCCAGGGACGCGGTGTAAGGGCGACTGTCCTTCAACAGAGAAGAGCGGCTGCCGCCCTTTATTAAAACGTCGCGCCTCAAGGCTTCGAAAAAACTCGCATCCGATAGCGCTAAGGCAACTGTAGTTTTCAACTGGAATGTATGAAACCACTATTGCAACTAATTATTCTATAATAGTTTGATAGGTTTAAAGTGGAATGAAACTGCTATTCAACAATACCATATACTTCATTACCAGTCTGTATGAAAATAACCCCACATAATGTCAAACCTGGATATAATCCTCCCTTATGCTCAATTTGATGATAATCTCAACAGTGATTACAATTCACTTGATATCTCTGTCCAAACATTCAATTGCTTTCCCAACTTATTTATTCCGACAGCATTGTCTCCGAATGGTAAAAGAAACTTTAGATGGAACCAAAATGATGCAATAAATACAACTTCACTGGACATCTAAATTACCCTGCTTGTCAAGCAGTATTCCATTTCTGTAATGAAGCACGAATGTGAAGGAATAGCTTCACTTATCGTATGTTACTGCTAACGAGATCTGTTAGATACTGACTACCCAAAATATTATTTCGCTCATCCTCTACCAGTATTTTCAATCCACTTTTAACCTACTGAATTATTATTCCGACAATGTTTTAGTTTGTTGTTGGTTGCATGTATGTGTACGTGTGTTTATATATTGTGTTATCCTGCTCTCACGAGACCTCTACCTGTTACAGAACCAATACAGAAATATCATCAATAAAACACGACCTAGGGAATACCCCGGCCCAAAAAATTATAACCATATATAGACCGCTTAAAAGCAGCGAATTTACTATAATAATTAGCAACATTATTTGTACAACGCTCGACAAGGAAGTGCAACTACGACTTTTCCATCGGAACGACAAATTGGGTGATAGAAGGAGCAGACATAAAATCACTTCGATGAAAAAATAATTTCATTGCAACCGCCGAACGGAACATGAATTCGAGAAAGTTCGATATCGCTTCACTTTGAAATCGTGCTCACAGAACATTATACAAATTACTATAAGTATTTCGTACATTTGCATACAACATGACGAGCACTGACTAAAGATACTGTATAGGTTCATCATATCATCGCGATCATCCCTATAATAAAGTGTCACTTAATTTTAGGTAATAAATTTATTCATATCAAAAATTAAAAATGACTTATGTTGATGTTAGAACATATACATTGAATAGAATCATATTGATTATTCGATGATTCCATTTTTTTTTCACAAAAAAAAAACAATTTTCTTAGTTTTTGGCATACACTGTTTTCCATCATTAGCATTCGTTGTCAAATTTCACGTGTTATGTGTTCCCAACAAGCACAATAGACTCGAGGCATCCATTCCAAGACAAGCGGCATATAAAAAAGAAATATTCACAAATAAAATGTGTATAAAATGTTTTCAATTCTTATAAAATAAGTAAAGCTTACAAAAATAACCATGATGGAAAACTAGCATACATCAAAGTCAAGCTTATGGAGGAGTATTTTTTTCATAATGTTTGATTTCTGAGTGGCTATTTTGTGGAAACTGCAGCTTTGAGATACTAGAATATGAGTAGAAAACTCAATAAAAATGACTCACACTGACTTTGTCCATATTTTCTTGTAGCTTCCGGAACAATGGTGTTATAGGATATAGTTTCATAAATTGTCAAAATATCCAGGTTCCAAAACAGTTCTGTAATCGCAATGCTGAATAACCTTGATGAATCTTTCTTATCAAGACAATCTGAAGGCAACAACCCAAGAATACCGAGTTAATTCGCAGTACAAACATCTGTCGGTATATACGACAGGAAGGAATACCGATTTACATATTTACCAGTTTCAAAATGGAACCAATATGTCACTTTGCTCGATCTTTGAATATAACTAATGGACCAAAGAAAATCACAACCTCAAACCTGCTACGCTTCCACTTGTGTTTTGGTAAACGACCTTACATTAAAACGAGTTAAAACAAAAAAAGAAACCTACTCCTTCTATCAGATTTTGTCGTGTTTGTAGGCGTGTCCCTATCGAAAAAACACTACGAGATGGGGGCTCGTCAACCATGGCTTCTGATGTAGCCATGAAGCCATGGCTTCGTCCACCCGACTGGTGGCAGTAGTACACTTGATATAGTAAGAACTTAATAGTAGGTCTCCTGTTCCAACCATCCTCCTGGGCAGCGACGCAAGTAGAACCGCCTCACTTCATCATAGATGAAGATCGCAAGAGCGAATGGAATGGCCGGAAGCCACCACACGAATCTGCAAGAACACAATGTCAAAAAATGTTGTTGGGCGCGGAGTTAGTGGGTATTGAAGGAGAACTGACTTGGGTAGAATTAGAATACACAGTATTCTGAATCTTATTCGGAATACATTCGGCTTGTACTCGAATGCTATTCGAATACATTAATTTGTGTGTTTGGTATTTGGTATTCGACTGAAAACTTTTTTGGTCAGTACTCGATATTCTGAATTCTGAATACCATGTCCCTGTCTGGCTTCGAGGCATACTTAATAGAAATAATTTAGAGGAAAACTCGTTTCTTGGTTAAATGACAGTTTGGCACTGCTAGGTCCCAAAAGGATAGTTTGACAAATCAAAATTTTCATATATTTGAAATCTCATCTCAAATTACCCCAGTGCATCACTCGTACCCACGGAAAATGAAAATGGAAATTTTGCGTTGAGAAATGTCAAAGTTTGAAGAATGTTTTTAAAAGTTGCTGCGTAATAATAATTGAAAGGCACCAAATGCTCAATTATTCTGGATACGTATTCCCGATACTTTATGGTTTTAAGTCCCACGCCGCTGGCTGGCGAGAATGCATTGCAATAGAAAATGAAATAGTTTTTTTATGTCACATTACGAAAAATCATGTCACTCATTTCTTACCGCTAAACATTGGTGCGTCTATAACCCTGAAAGTACCGTTCGGATTTTGATGAAATTTTCAAAAAAGGTTACTACGAAAAGATTTGTAGTTGTAGTTTTTGAAAATCGGTCTAGTGCAGAGGTAGAGACAAAAACGAAAAAAAAAACGCCGAACTTGATTTTTTGACGTTTCAGAGGTTCCTGATCATTTTCAAAAGTTTGCAGTGGTTAAAAATTAGGGGTTCGAAAGTGTAGGAGATGAGTGAAGGCAGGTTAGGATTTTTTCACCTTAATATATGTATTCGCTTCCAACCATGGTAATTCCACGCTCCAATTAGACACATCTTAAAAATCATAGATTTCCCCGTACATTTGCCCTTAAAACTGAGAATGAAAAAAATGTTATCAACAAGCATCTCCTGATCTCTGGGTGCACTGGCGTCACGGTTTCACTGATGAGTGTCGTGTCGTGACTGTCGCACTGCCAAGGATGACAACTGGCTTTGGCGAGCGGTGAAATACGGGTGGGGGGCGAGGACTGTCGGTAGGGCAGGGAAAATTTTTTCTAAGGTCTTATTGTATAAGTCTGTTTAACTCCATTTAATTCATTTGTTATACATGCGCATAGTTTCTCTCTCATAGGGTCTAACTTGCACCGAACATAATCACGTCAACCTACGCCATTTTTTTGATAATCACATTCAAAATCAGAAACTCAAATTACACTAACGTGTGTTTCCTTTACTTCTAGGTAGCAAAAATGAAACTACGAAGTTTACTATAGAGGTTTTATAAAAAATTGGTATCTGCAACTTAAAGAGAAACTCGTTTCTTGAGTGAGGAGGGTGCGTAAATCACAAATCTGATGTAAGTTTTTCGTAAAAGGTAACAGAAGCTCAAAAGGTCCATTTCCCCACTCTAAGGCTTCCCGACACTTGAGCAGCTTTTGGTGCGCCTATATTCGAAATAGCGTTCCAAATTAGTCTGGCATACCGGAACGGCTATTACGTATCTAGAAGAGTGACACTCTTTTTTGTGACATAACGCACGTTTTTATCAAAGATGTTAACTAAAGCACAAGCTGTTGTACACTTGTGAACTCGTTTTATAGTTGTAAGTGTTGCTTAAACGTCAGCGAACAACGATCATAGCGAGCAAACGCGGAATGAACTATTTGCACGCTAAAAACTACCTAGTCTGCAAGATGATATTTCGTGAGTTTTTCTTCTCGTTTTTTAGGTTTTTTACATAATAACCCTGCCGAGCACCACGTTTCAGTTGCTCACAACCACGGAAGATAAAATTCAATGACATTTTGGAGAAAATTGTTAGAATATGTAGTTAAATGCATACTACTGAATGATCGGGTATCTGGAGTTTAGACGAACGCTCGTTTGTTTACAAAAAACCTTAAAAACCAAATCTAATGTTTGCCCATGATTTGTTCAGTATTTTATACTATTCAAGTAGGGGAGGCGGGGACGGATTGGTATACATGGTGTATTTTCTTCAAGCCGTGAAAATTGCTTGGGGTAACTGGAAAACAGTTGATTACAATCACCTCTTTTCGTAATCCAGAATAGGTGAAATTCATGATATACTTACTTGAGCGGGAACATGCGCAGCCCTTTATCCATACCAGGCGTGTATGAAAGGAATGCCGCCAAAGCTGTCTCAAAGATCAAACCAAAGTTCAGCGCCCAGTTGCGCATACCTTGGTGGACGATAGAGTTACGACGCGTCTTACAGATGATCAAATCCGCCCATTGCACCACTACGATGGACACGAAGAATGCGGTGTGTGTGTATTCTAGGGTCTTTCTGTCGCGGTATGTCTGAGAAAAGAGGATAGAATGTTGTCAATCTCTGTTTATGATTGAAACGATAAGAATATTTTATGTATACAACAAGGAATATGCGATGTTTTTGTTTTTGCTTCCAGTTTAAAAGTTCCCATGTAGAACAGTTGACAGTACATAAACAAATCAAAACAATTTGTTTTAAAAAAGGCTGCTTTGAGTTATCAGCTTAAATTTTACCGCAAAACCGACCAACAGTTATGAGACACTATTATATGTTATCGCCGAAGTGGAAAATTTGCATTCTTCTTAATGACACCAACGTTCAGATAATTAAAGAACGCGTTACAACAAGTATCTGGTCATAAATAGGACTAACATCAATGATGCTGAATCGTGCTTTAAAGTAAGTTCTGTTTCGAGTAACTTTTAACTACTTTTTATTGATTGAAATCATTGTTAGATAAAATGAAGGGTCTACCAGTCTACAGTTCACATAATAACGGTATCTTGTTCTCGACTGTCTATAACTTTCATATGAGTTTAAATTGACATTATATTGAAGTTCTTCAGTCAATTGGATGCATGTGTTAATTACAGTGCCGCGCCATCGATCACGTCCTACAATCTCAGAAATCAAACTCACCATTTCTCAAGTTGGAAGCAAAACTTGCATTCCCCAAAATATTTGTTTTATTAAACCTATATGAATGTCGATTTTGTCGTTTCAGTGTAATTGGCATCATTGTTAAGGCAAACTAATGCCAAAATAACTTCAATCATCCGTTTAGTGTTTAAAAAATAGGAGTTTGTTTTCAGTTACTGTGAATGTTTCAATAAAGAATGTGATTTTTGCAGTTAAACCCTAAAACAAAAACATTGCAGTGATCTTGCTTTTCATGTTTTTTTTTTCTACCGTTTATTCACATACTTACATGTGTAATATTTTTTTATCTTCCCTATTTGAGGGGTCCAATTAAAGATCCGTAAAAGTGTATAGGAACTGTCCGTATTTCTTAAAAGCAAATTTGAAACTAATCCCCTTATCAACTCAGCTATAAGTAACTGTTAAGGCCCCTAGACCTTACACCATATACTTACCCATTCTTGTCCGTACGAGTCAGTCAAATCATTAACAGCTTTCGAGTCCCATTGCTTACGGATGCCGAACAGTTTCATCGGCAAGAACCCGTTCTCAGCCATGATAACGAAGTAGACGAAGAATCCTGCAGCAGCTTGGATCATACCGATCTGTCCATAAGCCATCGAGATCAACCTATAGCACAGATCTGGTTAATATCGAAGGTTTTGGGTACTAGGAAGTCTCAGGTGGCCATTCATGATATGCTCGGATCATATTTCCATACTACTAAAGCTTTGATAAGACTATAGTTGTGGTAAATTAGAATAATACTTTCACGATGCCAGAAGGTCAACCTTGTCATAAAAGTGTCTTAGACTACGATCAGCTAGGTATGTTATCTTAGTGAACTGGTAATGTGGAATCCAAATATACTTGAAAGGTTAATTTTTGTAAAATTTGTAAAAATGTGTGTAAATATGACTCCTTTTCTACCCCGCAAAGTGCCCCCGTTGGAACATCAGTTACCTCCATCATACAAATGTAAGTAGTAGCTAAACGTATTGTCAGTCCTGTCGACAAGTGCAGGTTGTTTCAACCTAGGAGTAGGCTAAAATATCTACGCTAGGTCCTTAAATGAACTCACATGCCTGACTTAAGTTTTTGGGCATGATATGTCATTGCTTCAAAATCCATACTTTGCGTGGGCACACCTAAGGCTGATTCTAAAGAGACCAAGTGATGAACTGTCGCAGCTATACTATTGATAGCTTGGATACATTGGAAAACATGTCCGAAGTTATGACTGGATTATCACTAGACTAGACATCAGAACAGCTTCTCCTAAGCCCACGTAACTCGTAAATAAGTGACATGACATAATTGCACCAATTCTACCTGAAATGTTGTACCTCACGAAAGGTAGTGAAGGTATTATTCTGTGTCCAACTATTTTGATCTGTAATACCATCGACCGTGATCTTAAAGATATTGTCAGCATGTTTAAAGTTTCCAATAAAAACTTTTGTGATAACCGAACACAGATCATGAATGTATTGCCTACCTGAGGCCTGTTATTGATAAGACAGCCTTTGAGTATTGATTCAACGTTTATTATCTTGTTCTTACAGCCACTTCTTAAAAAATATATAGTCAATGCTAAGGCTTGGTATCGCTACTCCAAACCAAAGAGGAGGTATTATCCATAATAGTTTGAAGCTGCAATACCATATAATATTGTCACAAAACAAGTAAATTTCTCACAGATGACACTATTCAGTACTCAGTTAAAAAGGCTGTCTTGTTTCCATCAAATCACCAGAGTCATGCTGTTAGTACATAAAATATCTACATTTTGTACACCAATATCTACAAAACACTACATGCAGTACAACCAGTACGTCAGTATTTTTGAAGTCTACCGATTATTATCAGGAAATTAATTGTTTTGTCACCTATATCTCTCTATGTCAACGCTTGTGAATTTTGTTTCAAATTGGTTTTTAACTAAAGAAATAATAAATATTACATACAACAAAAGGAGACACAATTAAGTATATCACAATATTTTATGGTAGGTACACCCTATCAAAATGGGTCCTCGCTATTCATATAGGATAGGTTGTAAGGGTTGGTTACAGAAACTGACTCAAAATTATAGTGACATACTGGTCTAAAAGGCGGACTTCTGCTTTATGGGGTGATTTGGGTATTAAGCGGGGTAGGGAAGTAAATTATCATACCATGGTGTATCGTAAATACATATGCTTTTACTTACTTGATTTTATATTTGTTTAGGTTTAGGCATGAGGCAGGTTTGTTTGTTTAAATAAAATGAATAAGAAATATAGAAAAGAGGAAGCGTAGAGTCCAAGATGCGTAAAAAACGAGAGTACTTACAACATCAATATAGGCAACAGAGATTGCGCTTGGAACACAAAATGTTTTGTGAGAAGTAACATACATGCACAGAGGATGAGAAGGTTTCCTTATTCATTTTAATCATAGTATATTATTTAGTTTGTTAGTAAGTTTAGTCAGATGGTATTAGAAGTGTAAATTGTAAGAACGGCTTTGGGTAGTACGGTTTATAACACAAGTTTCTTAGAACTTCAACTTCCAATTCATATGTAACTAATTATACGTATCTAAAGGTATGAAAGACTAACAACTTTTTTAATATATAGAATAGTATGAAATCTATAGTTATGCAAAAATTGGTAGTTGAAGCTTGATGTTTGTATTGATTTAATGTATATCTCGTATTTCAGTAATCTCATCCTAAACATTTGAGACTTTACTAATCATTACTGCTCAGTGACATATAATAAAATGTCTCATGGTTAGGTAGTAGTATATGGTCTCAGCACAAATGATGTGAAAATAATGTAACAATGATACATCATCACTATTATAGAAATTGCTGAAATACCATGATAATTTGTTATATCTTTCTATGTATGGTTATTTAGAATTGTTGGTATAGTGTACAAGAGTATCATATTGTATAAAAATAAGCAAATTACTAGCAATAAGATCTACTTCTTAAATGAAAATTAAACAGCAGGTTAAGACGAAAATAAATTAACTTTATTGATGTTAGACATAGTCAAGTTGCTTAGTATGAGTCAAATAGTGACTAGCTAAACAAGTGCTTTCCTCATTTTTATTTCTACTAGAATAAGTTGAACATTGCTATATTTAGAGAGGGAGAGTCAGTTGAATCAGTTAAAACAATGCATTTGCTTTATTTATAATAGCTTTCTCTATAATATTGAATAGGAAGCTTAAAAGTTTGTTTGAAGTTTTGAATTATATAGCTCATGTTTTGATTGCAAAGCTAAAAATATTTTTTTATGAAGGATTCTAATTTGAAAATATCAACTATACGTAATGTACATTTATTAATAACTAAGTAAAACCACAAGGGTTTCCCTTGTCTATTATTAGAAACCTTTCATAGCATAGTTAACAAAAACAAATGTTTTATCATTATTCACAAATATATATAGACGAAGTTTTCTCATGTCACTGTGACATTAACTTCTTATTTACTTAAGCCTGAATAAAAATTCTACATGTCAGCAAAATAGTAATTTTTTGCGTAGCTGTCACCTTGCAAGCTACTTAAGTATCAGAAAAATTATCTGGGGAAATATTAAATCTCGACCTCAACAGCAATTATGCACAAGTATTCTTCAAAGTTCAGGAATAGCAAAACTTCAGAACATGCAGTGAAGTAGGAGAGACCTCTAAACAATATTTCTATTTCTAGTTTTTCTCTATAAGAAATAACTAATTTTATCTTATGATGATGACAGGCACGACACACTGTATTGGTGCATATAGAAAAATCGTATCCTAACACTGTATCTAAAATGTTCTACGGTAGATCATGTATGACATATTTTTCTAATATTCTGATCTCATGGTTCTGCTAGATTCATTAACGTATTTCTTTGTAAACTACATCTTTGTAACAGCGCCAAAACCTTGTTTGATGATGTATCTGCTGACTCAACCAACATTCTAGAGGCCTTAAAATATCAGCAACTGGAATTTTGTCAGGCTTTTTAATTTTACAAAAAATTTTGAAGCTTGAAGCTTCTTATTTCGAATTTTACAGATACACTTGATTACCTTTTATCCTAATATACGTAACAAAAATTCATTTTTATATCTCAATTTAAATTATAAAGAAGAAATATATGACATACAGGACCTACACACATAAAATATCCTAGACTCGACACAATCTATACCTCGGCAGACAGAGAAAAGAATGAGTAAGTTGTCTAAAATCTATATCATCTAGAGTTTGATTCAGAATAAATGATACGTAAAATTTGTCTTTGAAAGATCATGCCCTTCTAGAGTTGGTAGTATAAGTAAACTAGACGAGAGCTAACAAGATGGCTTCAAGTTATTCTGAAGCGTATGCTTGATGTGACTATAATCTTTAAAATATAAAGTAGTTATAAATAGATATGTGATATAGCTGAAGCTCCAAAGCGACAAGATTAATACGATATAATGTATTATGAAGTATAAGATGGCAATCCTAAGAATGTCAGCTCTTCGTATGATACTAACGTACCTCGAAATCGATAAAATAGTACATACCTTCATATTTACTTAACAATTTGTTAAAACAAACACAAATAGATAGCAAGGTCTGAATCTCCCGAAAAAGGTGTATAATTTCATATTCTTTAAACAATTAGTCACTCCGATATTATCCTATACGTACAGGGTATCCCGCTATAAATGTTCCATAAATAGAAAAAACTTCAAATTTGTGTGTCATGCAGCCGTACTTCACACGGGGTTCGCATGGTAGATATTAGGGCTAGAAAAAAATTAATTTCTATCTCACAATTATCTCAGATCTCTAATACTAAATCCTATAATTTCCAGTTTAGATCCCTAAAAGCTAAGCTAAGGGATGTTTTATAGGTTTTTCGAATAAGTTGTTTTTCATAAAAGAAAACATTACATGAAACACTTTATGTTAGACCCTATAAAATTTCTATAAAACTTTTTCTCCACACGGTCATACAGAAGTTGTGGGGTCAATTTATAACGGGACACCCTGTGCATTCAATCAGTGAATTATATATCCACTTCTAATACATTGTCAATTGCACATATTAAATGCCTGTTCTGTATAACAAACACCAAGAGTGCCGAGGTAACGGTTGTGAAGTGTCAAGCCATCACGACCACCACTGCAGTGACCCAAGGTTTTTTTTTTGTTGAAAAGAGGAGATTCGTAACTTTGACAATACCAGAGAAAGATATGACATTGTAATGACTACTCGATAGAAATTATTGCGAAAACAAAACGTAAAAGCTATTTGCCTGAAATCAATAAATATAAATTTATATTTTATTTGTACTTGTAGATGAGATACACATTTTATTATTCACCTACATCATTGATATCTCAATTGCAGTCGCCTGAATTTATAGAACGTATTCTGAACAACGCTGTCAGTATCAATATATATTGTGTAGGTGATATTTTTTCATGCATACCTGTTGATGTATGCCAGACATATGGGGGATGTCAACAAACCAATTTCCAATTATTTTGAATCTGTCTTGTTATTAGCTCAAAGTTAACCTTACTCGAAACCTTTATCAATAAAGCGTTTTTCGAAATTCGTGCTTATATTGCAATTAATAACACAACATTGCTAAGCATACTTCATTGAAATGAATTTTCTTAACATGGCTAGTTGTCAGGAAGAAACTTTAACATATATTGCGTTACTGTACAGTTAAGGTATATCACAGGGAGGAGTGGCAGCAAATAACTAACAACAATCAAAAATCATTTGTAACAAATGCTCTATCAATAAAGATTTCTGATCATCCTCGTTTTCAAAATATCTTTATTAATTAAAAGTAGAGATTACGAAATTGCGCGCTGTTCGTTATACAAGTGATTAAAATGAACTCAAGAAATCAATAATACAGTTAATAATCAGTAATAATAACTATTCTTCCCTGTATGTTTTCTAATTGCCACTACTAACAATATTTGTAATATGTTTTTATCAATCTTATGTTGTTAGATTTTTACTAGAATTGGGTTTTGACAGGAAGAAGGCTAATTTCTGAATTAAAATGATGGTGACGAAATAAAATCATTGCTTTCTACTAAGAAATGTCTGCAGAAATGGGCGAACAACTGTTAAGGGGAAGAGTGGAGATGCATTCATTGTGTGACAAAACAATCTTGAACAACGACTTTACATTAAAGAGTTTGATTTGATCCTATATCTATGTTATATATATTATATAATTTCTACAGAATCCTTCTGAAAAGACCGTTATACACTGCTTTTCTTTAATGCCCCCTCCCTTTTCATTTTTTGAACGGATCAATTCAAAAATTAAACTTGAGGTAATGAAATTGATGTGTGGATACCATATTTTAGAGTAAAATTGACAAATGAAAATGTCAAGATGGCCGCTGGGCGCCATCTTGAAAAAAGACAATTCTATGAAAACGGGGGTCTTGTGTCACATCATTTTTAAGCTCCTGACGAGTACTTTATAACCCTAGAATATAAAGTCAATACCTTTACCTACTACAAAATGGTGTTACATTTTATAATTACCTGAATACATTGACATTTAACTTGATAATTCGAATAAATACGTCGAGTTCAGTTTAGAAGATGCTGGAAATGGTTGCCTTGAACTTCTTGACACAATAACAGGCAGTCCGTAATTTCGCGTCGAACATTTTCAAACATAGTAATATTTATACAAATATTTGTTATTCTCAGCCGTATATCTAATATTGAAGCAGGTTCAGTTTCGTACACCTTTTTCTTCAAATAGCCCCATAAAAAAAGTCTAAAGGTGTCAAATCTGACGAGCGAGCTGGCCATTCCACAGGACCTCGGCGGCCAATCCAAAGACCGGGGAATTGTTATCTAAATAGGGGGGACATTAAAGAAAAGCATTGTATAATAAAAAAGACACTAGTGACAATTCGACAATGAAATAATAAGATGTTTCCATTAATGCCTACTTTGTTCATATAAAAGCACGTTCAAACGTTCAACAAGACGCTTCAATGAAATACTTGAATAACGAACAGTTCATAACAAATATCGAAACCTCTAAGAAATGATGACACGAGACAAATGTATGTGTGAAATAATACATATATAGTACGGGAAATGTGAGATGCGAATCAGGTGTGTAGTGCCATGACCCACCTACGGTTAACCAGATTGTCCCTATAGGGGTCGCGAGGTTGTCTTTTCATAATGTCCGACTCCGGAGCTTCGTAAGCCAGAGATATAGCAGGCACCTATACAGAGGAACGCACGCAAAACACGCACACAAGTTAGATTAGGACAGAGATGTCAATGTCTGATGGACGCGCAACAACATGCACGTAATACGTTACTATTAATTATATTAGTCGACTATTTCTTAGGTTGTTTGTTCATATATGATTTGTAACTAGAATTTTTTGATTATTGGGTATAGCGGTACGTGGATAGTAATAACGATAAGCCTCAATACAGAATATTGGTTTAACCGATCAACTGTTAAACCAATGCAGTATGGTTTAATATCCAGTATATTCATCTTAAAAAATACGAGCAGTTCACTGGGTGACAAGTCTTATCAACCTCGTACGTGTGCATATAGGAATTTTATTCCACATTTTTTTTTTACATCAACCCTTTGTTTACGTTCGAAGATCATTGAGACCGTGAGGTGAGAAGAAACACAAGATGATTAAAAAACAAAACAACGGCAATATTCGTAGGGTAGGAAACACATCTAAAGGTATCAAAAAGTCATAGATACTCTCCAGATAATATTGTGGTAAAATTTCATTCCTCATCCAATATACTACTTACAATTTTCTGTCAAATTTCACTAACTTGTATATTTGAAGTAGATTTTCTCCAAAAGAGTTGTCATAACAAAATTTTCTCAAGAGAGACAACTGATGTAAAATTGAATATTTTATCTAAAAATGAGATTTTGTGTTTTAAATCAATCGCAAATCAGTAGTCAAACGTTTTTCCAATCGAAGATGGATAGACTGTATATGAGGCAACTACAAATATCCACAGTACCGTGTAGTGGATCTGGTAGTATTCAAATGTCCATAATAGTGTGTAGAGGGAGGATTAGGAAAAAGCTTTTGCAAAAGTATCCATCACAGCAAAACAAAAGCTATTTAACCTGTAGTGTACTAATGGAATGGAAATGTGGTGCACAAGCGAAGCAACAGTATCAAGGATTTAAAATAACTTTCACTCTATGACAATATTTCCACTTTTGTATGAAATTTGTATTGTATCGTTAT